AACAGGAAACAGTTAATTCTCTTATTAATAGGCAACGACCGTTCGCAGCTGATTGAGAGGTCATGAAATTTCATGACGTCATTAAATTCTGCCCAACTCGTGATCTTTGCCTTGTTCAAATTTCTTCAGGGAAAACAATGTTTCAATTATCAACAAAGGCAACTGAGACTGGAATTGCCATTTCTGGTTTAAGAGCCGTCTACTATCTTGTTCGCAGGTCCTTTGCGATAGTTTCCCAAACGAAAGATCAGAGCTGTGCCAGATTATATTTTGTATTCACGATGGGGCTGACTGAAATTAAATCGTAATAGCCGCTAAAGAAGACGACAGTTTAAGTGCGTTTCCTATCGACACAATTGTTCCAACTGTCCGTAGATTCTCGTTCCGTGGTGGTGGGACGTGAAGGGCAGCCTTTATGTGTTGACACTACTCTGGTTCTCTTAGTGGTGCTATTAGGTCTGATTGCATAATTTTGTCCATAAGCCGTGTCCAGGCTACCGGCGACGTGCGCTTCCAGCGGTTTTCAGGCCCCATCCGTTGCCGTCATTAAACAGGGCTGCTGAGTCAGCCCAGGCGGCCACAGGACGCTAATCTTAACATTTGTTTAGCAGCAGTCCTATCCGAAATAGACTAGGCAACCCAGAGGTTGGTCTGCCCGCTTTCCGTCTAGACGTTTTGGGTGTAGTGAGAGAATGGTGCAGAGTACAGGGACTAAGTAGTGTAAAAAAAGGCAATTTTAGCCTCTGTCATTTGATATATCCACCGGATAATGACTGCTGCCGTGGCGTGGCTGCTGTGGTTACATGAGAGAGAAGGAGCTGGTTCTCGGAACAACGCGAAAGAGGCATATCTAGTAGGTTCAAAAGATTCGTCAAAAGAGGTCTGTCGGTTTACTGTAGTTTTACAGACTGCCCTCATCAACACAGTGTCCATCTGATCGCATCCAGGAACCCGGAGTGATCGGACAGCTGTGCTGCAGGTCTCCACTTGCCCGCAGACCCCACGGAACACGCACCCACGTTTCTTGACTAGGAGTCTCAAATAATTTATCATCTCATTTGGCTACAACTTACACCAAGAATGCTAAATGTACTCTGTAGATTTTTCATCTCTGTCAATCTTCAGAATGTGGATTTTACTCCCTCGAAATACGTGCAATTAAACCGATTGAGATTTTTTCGGACAACTGAAAAATCAACCAATACATTGCCAGTTCTGCCACCAGAACTGTGTGCACGAATTATTCTAGCGCACTGTCCTTGAACACAATGACCAATTAGCGATCGGTATCAGTAGCCAATAAATAACTTCGACTGCTTTTTGGCAAATGTGTAATCAAGGTCACTGTCACAGTGCGTGAAGGTTCACGCTCCATATACACATTCCATCTCAGAATACAATCAGAGGCAATGCGACATTTGAAAGAAGGTAAGTAAATGGGAATTATTTTTATTCAATTTTAAAAGAATCTGCGTGGCACTTAGGTTTCACTATTTCGGTGTCAGTCGAACCAGTTTTGTACGTTTTCTGCGGTCTTTACTCGTAGCTTATCCTGTAGTGGTTCGGAGCCTCGATCCCAATTTCGATCTGTCAGAGTTTGCTCATCGACTATGTGATTTAACAAATCCCAACAGCCTTACTAACGACCGCATACAAAAACATTCAGGGAGGGTTTCTGTGCCTAAACTTTGGCTTCTGTCAGCATGTGTTCATTTGAAATGCGCAAATTTTGGCAGTCTTGTTATACTCTGACCTTCGGGTACCACGGAAAAGTCATGTAAAGCTCAAGAAGAAATCGGGATTGGTAATTTTCCATAGATTTAGTCATATTATTTTGATCTATTGATTAGATTGAATCTCGATATGTCTTTTAGTAAGGAAAATTGCCTTTTTATTTCGGTATATTGAGGGCAATAAGCATTACTTTTGGTGAAAGCGGAGGCAGTTCGATATGGAAGAAATTTTCTATGCTATTAAGTACGAAATAACTAAACGTTTTATTTGTATCTGTTTTGCTATGAGAGAACTCCAAAATAAACTATAAAACTTTAAAATATATTCCTTCCAGAACCAAAATTTCCAGTCGGAATTTAACGAGAAACAGATGAATCCAGGGTAATGGATTCGCATTTTTAGGCAAAATAGAAACGATTTCATTTTTAAACATTATTGTTTGCTATAGTTTGTAGCTTTTGTCAAGGAACACAGTAAAATAGTTTTGACCCTATTTCGTTTTACCATATGGAAGATGTGCGACGGTAACTAAACATGCATATATATTATCGCGTAACTGAAAGTAAAAGGCAATCTTCTTATGTCTAAATAATGTAGTAATATACTCTTTTTTACAGTGTTATTTCCACTTATGTATAATTCAGACACGAAGGGGACAGTAGATTAATAGTCTTAGTATATATTCGGCCACTCATTTTTTGCGGCTGCAAGCGTAGAACGGAGCCGTAAAGTAATTAACTATGGTAAAAGATACTCCAATATAAAGTAAGAAGTAAGTCCTTGCATTTCTATCCAAATTTTATCTTTTATTTTCAGGTAAATTAAAAGCTTGCTAAGATTCTCCATTTTTAATTTGAAATTACCTTGAAAAAAGATAACATGCACAGTTATTCGTCAGCTGAATGTCTAATTAAAGTGTTTTTGAAGAAGCTACATATTATAATCTATTATGACGAACAACAATATCAGACTTCTTTTACGTACGTTCTTTTCACTCGACAATACGTTTTCAGGACTTTCTAAATATGACCCACATAGACGTCTTTATAACAACTAATATCCTTTCTTTCGGTAAACGTTTTTACGAAAAATGTCATTATAAATGCTTTGATATAAACGTCGAACAAAATCTAGATTGATGGACGAAAGCTTGAAAACTCTGTAAATGCTCGAAGGTATTCCGGAATTTAAAGGACGATCTTAAACTTATTTTACTTCAATAACGGCAAGATGTATAAAGAGTGTTGACTAAAGAAAAATTATCTTTATATAAAAAAATGGTATGATTATCCGTTTAACCGACAAGAACATTGAAATGTATTGTTCTAATTTATAGCTACTTATTATTTCCAAGTGTTCTTACATGCGTTAATGCCGGGTTGCGGGTGATTATCAGCCTTTTGCAAACTTCAGTATTTTACACGACTTCCCTGCCCTACTGCACTTACTAAAATGAATCATTTTCTTTTAATAATGCTGTTGGAGTAATCAGTTCAACACTGTTCTTCCTGTGTTCTTTTCAGTCGCGAATCAACCTGAAGTGGAAATGCTTGCTGTGAATGGGCCGCTTTTAAATTACGTGCTCTACATCCGGTGGTATAAACACGATAAACTGATGCATGTCTTGACCTGGCTCAAGAACAGACGTATAGCCAGCGTTTATTATTTTCTTCTCGGTCCTGTTACCATTATCTAAATAACAGCCTTCCACCTAAATGTTAGATCAGGGCTGTCAGACAGGATTATGTTCCGTTAAGTAAATCAGTGTTTGACTTCCCACCTCGTCGTGACTTAATGTAGTTACGGAGCTAACAAATAAATGCGCCCCATCCTATGCAACGCTTGTGCCCATTACAGCATATATGCTGTCTAACGCAAAAATCAACCGAAATACGGCAACTTAAGTTTGAATTCTTACGGGCACGTTCACGTGCCTGCCTTCGAACAAATTTCCATTGAACCAATCGGAAAATGCCCATTCACGGAATAGCTCAATTGTCCATGGCTTTTCGAAATTTTTTGGAGAAAAGGCGCAAAAATAGTGTTGCCTGTACTTAGTTGCGTGGTAAATTAATTTCTCTTCCAGTTGCATCCTTCAGGTTTAAAAACATTGTTAACCATAGGCTTTCAAAGACCGTCAAGTTTCCATTCATAAAGCATGTCTTTCTTTTGAATTATACAGGCTGGTTCACATCCACTTCAACATTTATGAGTCCGGCATGGCTTACCCTTACCTATATAAATTATCTTATACGAAACTAAACAGTTCGTAGCTTTGAACTCCTGAATGCATGCATAACAGCAGGTTCGGAAAAAAAATTAATCAGATATCCAGATTTTGATTCTGATATAAACCCTTCCTTCAAGCCCAAAATTAAAAGGAGACGCAATTTGCTACCGAAAGCCTACAAGAACGAATATTCTTATGCATGTGTTTTGTAATATGTATTTGAATTTATAAGGTTATTGGAAATCACAGAACAAGCTGCAAACCAATTCAGTAGTAGTTTTTGCAGAGTATCTTTTTGCCGGCAATTTGTTCAAAAGTCTGACGTGATTGAGATATCTTGGGATTATGTTGTGCGATTATTAGTATTATAACTTTTCTCGGCTCATTCCGCCTGTGCGTCCTTTGCCACATGTCGGATCCGAGCCTGGACTATACCGATTCACTGTGGCCTGGAAAGCTGCCAACTGACGCTCACATTAGACCACGTCATCGGCGTGGTGTTTGCCGTGTGTTTAATGGCTGATCAATGGGCTGGGTATTAGGTGGCGACGGCTCCTTCTTACCCACCGGTTGTGCTAATCATGGTGTGTCAAGTGGACAAAGTCGTGCCGTGGCCCGCGCAGATGGGTTCGCTGATTTGTCAGCCATTAAGTGCACACCACATCAAACAACTGACCGGCTCGGACGGCGGTGTGATACTGGGGGTGGAGGAGAGTGGGGCTGACGCCTCAGCACACTTGTCTCCCTCCAACAAATCTGGCGCGCTTGAACTTATCACAGCGCGCTAACAGCTGTGGCTTCGAGGATCGCCAACTGCCCAGGTAACTTAAACCACGCGTTCAGCTCAGTGTGTCTTGTGTTGTGTGGACTGGGTCACTGAGAGCCAGGCTGCTATGGCTCAATTCGTGTCGGCACGCCTAGGGGTGGCTCTGTCCGCGCCATCCAGCTGCGCCAATTCCCACTTCCTGTGTTCTTGGCTCTTGCTGGACACACATCTCGTGTGTACTAAGAAAAAAGGTAGTGCGCTAGATGCAACAAGAGTCTATTAACACTTAAATTTAATTCCGACGTAAGTCACCACGTTTGCTTTTATTTTGTTGAAGCACGCCGTGGAACTTGTCAAAACCGATGTTCAAACTTTCATTATGACTCCACTAAGGTTGCTTTCTCAGGCAGGGAC